CCTCGTCTCGGTGAAACCCCCCTTCTCGGTGAACTTGCCACCTCACCGAGACGGACGCAAACGGCGACGGTTCCCAGCCTCGACCATTGACTAGATCCTCCCAGCTCCGCGCCTATACCAAAGCAAACCTCACCAGACATCATCCCTTCAGGACCGAGAACGGTCTCAGGTACTTGAGAGCTAAGGAGCCGGCTCAAACGCCTACTTCCCAGATTCTTAGTGCGATCAAGCGATGTCATGTAACTGGTCCAGAAGCTGAATTCTGCTATCATGCCTGGAGCGCCCGGTATGCACCGTCGTACCCGAGGTCGTTCTCAGTCCTGAAGGGAGAGAGAAGAAGTAGGTAAGGGGCCTGTCCTCATACACCTTTCGCAGACCATTCCCCGCCGAACGGTCGGGACGTCGGACAACGTCCGCCCCTTCCAGACGAAACCTGCGTCATCGCCCGCCGCGGCGTCAGAAATGACAGCTCACGCGTTTGTCTTCCACGCCCGAATCGAGTGTGCGCCGGAGTGATCGCTGGCAGGCATGGGCGTTGGAGGGTCGTTCGGGGTTCTCTCAGGGCGCGAGACCCCCGCGCCCGACGACCGGGCGGCGCCCCTCCCGACGCCGAGTGATCATCGATTACGTCGTTGCGTGCGGAGAATTATAAGCCGTCGAGCGGAACTTTTGCGCTGTCACATAGTCGTGAGATGAACAGCATTAGCGCCGTAATGCTACGTCCACGGCGGTCTGCGGTGCTGCGCGGTGCGAACCCACGAACGAGCGATACAAGCTGCTGATGAGCAAAATCGCAAATTGATAACAATTCGTGCAGCTTCTTCAATGTGAACAGCGAAAATTTGATTAGGTCGCTCCTTGCAGAACTATTCGAAAAATTACAAATCCCAGCCGTAGCGACTCCCAACGCCCATCGTCCAGACACCAGCTCGGTGATCATGTGCTCTGTGACTGCGCTCACCGAGCCTAGTCCATGGTGCGCCCGCTCTTGGTGCGGCGAATCTCCTTGCCCTTCTCCGACCACGGCATGTGAATGACTGGTACGCGGAAGAAGCTGTTGCCGTCGTCTTGCAGACCTGCCAGTGCATTGTACCACGCCAAGAACGCAGCCAGCATACCAAATGTACCACCGACAATCTGCAGGTGGCGAGCAGTCGTCTCGTTGCCAGCATTCAAGGCATAGTTCTCGCAAGCCAAGAAGAGGAAAGCAATGTCCAGAGTAAAGAACAAGGAGAAGAAAGCGACGGTAGACTTGAGGGTACACAGTAGGAGGATCGTTGTGAAGATGAACCAGCCAGTCAGGAAGAATCCGACGGCAGAATAGTGGTCCGAGTAATCAGCGGCATAGGGGCCGTCGGGGGCGGTGATGCCCCATGCAGGCGTCAGGAGAATACCATATGCAATCCAGAAGCCGCCGTAAGATGAGAGTGCAGTGGCGCCAAAGGTGTTGCCAACGGCCATTTCCCTGCACGAATTAGGTCAGTCCATGATATCGTATGGGGATCCTCCACAAATGCGGCTCCGCTGAGAGGGACCGAAATCCACAATGAGGTGGCGACGCGGTTGAACCCATGACCCACCACGTTAGGAGCTCAGGGCATAACCAGGCACAAAACATGCCCAGTCTCTGTAATGGTGCCACAAGGCGAAACCAGAAGTCGGGAGAAAATGGAAAAGAGGAAGAGTGAGTACTGACCACATGCCAGCGAGTAGCTGGACGAGACCGCCATAGGCAAAAGCCAGGGGAACGGCAATGTTGGGCGCCTTGACGCCACGCGCCTGAAGGTTGACGCAAGACAGGACAAACGTCGTCAGAGCAAAGGCACAGAGGCCAAGAGGCGCGGGGTTGGCGAATTTGCGGTGCTCGAGGGGCTTCCACATG